ATATTATCACTATCAAAATATAATTATATGTTTATACATAGCAAAAAGATTTTGTACAACATATGCAAGTGTATGTCAACACTGCTTGCTTGAACAGCTAGTTTTAAGATTTTCACACAGATATAAAAGAAAACTTAATAATGTTAACATATAAAGACAACGCATGTTAACAATATTCATTTTAAGAAAATAATTAAAAGTAAAATTCATAAAAAAATAAAATGCAAACCGCAGTTAAGGAATAAGTGAATTACTCACAGTGTTTTATTATTTACGCAATACGATCTACCAACTTATTTCAAAGTTTGAATCTGTTCTTGAAGGATATATAAATTTCATATTTCCTTCCATATCTACTACTTTTACTTGTTCTAAAACTAAATTATGGTCGTCAGCCGAGGGATATCCAAAATCGGTGGAAACTAATTCCTTTAAGAATTCGTTCAATACATCTCTGTTAAAAAATAAAGCAATACAATAAAACTACAATTATATATGAAAATTTCATTTGTGTTAACATCAGTAAAATTAATTCAAAGTAAAAAAGTCTGTAATCAATTACCAATTAATTGGTGTTGATGTATCATAGTATTACCTGCAAATCTGATGTGATCTATTACTGGTTACTTCTATTAGTATTGCTTCAGTATTTATTGATATTTTTGTGATATCACTGTTTGTTATTGGTGGAAATGATATCACTTGTTCCGAAGAATCTAGTAAACATGGAAACAGAGGTTTACCTTCTAACAGGTAAAGATATTTATGAAGACCAGAATATACATTGCGTTTTTTTTCTTTCCTTAAATTTTCTGCTTCAGTCTGTAGTAGCTGAAATAATGCAGTACCAGTATAAACTTTATTTCGTTTTAATGGTTTAATCTCTAATTCATTTGGTGGTTTTGCTGTATATGTTAAGTCACCTAAACAATAAACATAATATCAATTATACATATTTTTATACATATAAATTTCTTTAATATCTTATCATACTTACCAGGAGGAATTAATTTTAAATCATGTGTAGCAATAGTAGCTGCATTTCTTTTTTCACATACGCCATCATGTAATTTAGTTTGAAGTTGAATAAATTTCTTGAAACTATCCTCTGTAAACTTGATATTTCTTATAATAGAAATTGCAATATAGGGTCTGATATTTTTCACGTGTTTTGTAATTTTAATTAGAGGTGTATCATTTGTTACTTTTAATACTTTTAGTTTATTTGACAGAGTATCCACTGCATTGGTGTTATCTTCAGACTCTGATAATTTTTGTGCTTTCTTTGCTTTTTTTGATTTAGCATTTGAAACAGTAGAACCATCTTGTTTAGGACAATGCGCTCTTATATATTCTATTATTTGTTTAGTACGACATTGATCCACTAACTTTGATAGCCTTTTATCTGCCAATTTGTTTCCTTCCAAATGTAGCTCCTTAAGCTTGTTACAATCAGCAATTTCACCTGGAATAACTATAATAAAACAATCAAAAATTAAATCAGCCTCACAAAAAACAGTTTTATACTTGTAAAGAAAAATTTACCTGAAATTTTGTTGTTTGCTACATTTAACACTTTTAAGGATAGAAGCTGGCTTATAGTTGAAGGAATTTCCTTTATACAATTCCCACGTATATCAATTTCTGACAGATGAACCAGTTCTGCATAACATACATCAGGAAAGACTTCGAACTTATTATTTGAAAGGTTCAAAATACTCAACTTAACATTTTCAATTTGCGTGGGAATGACAGTTAACCGATTTAAGCTTAAATTCAATGTTGTCAATTGCGGAAGTTTGCCAATTTCTTTCGGTATAGAGCTCAAAATGTTCAAAGAACAATCGAAAACCTTGAGTTTTTCTAATTGTCCAATCGTACTAGGTATTTTATTAATCTCATTTGAATGCAGCACCAGGTTCGTCAGATTTTGTAATTTTCCGATTTCCTCTGGCACCTCTTGCAAGCATGTGTGCGTTATTTCCAAAAAATTTAAATGCCGCAAATCAAACAAAGACTTGTCGAATCCCCTTTTTTGGATGAATTCAGAAATCTCAGAGCCTGACAATACCAACTCGTGCTTATTCTCTGCAGCAGCAGTTTTAATTACGTGCCACGAATTATCGAGCGCCATTATGGCTAAATGTTTAGCAAATTTCTACTAACGACAAAGGAACCTTATTCGTGACGTTTTTGAGGTTATTTGCCGGGTCGTGTTTGAAACGTGCGTTATTCGGTCATGACGACATCTATCATGTATACAATTCAAAAATTGCAGTTTAGAAACTACGCTGTGTAAATATCGGGTGCGACGTACACGTGACTTGCAATTAACGTAGACTTAATTAATATGTTCCAAGATGAATCATAATGGTGGTATCAACAATATTTTTTTCATTTAAATGCAAACAATTATTACGTCACTTAATATGTTCGCTGTCATTTGAAAAAAAGCACATACACAACTTTCTCAGCATTCAACAGAGTATTCGTGGTCGTATACAGTCGTTTATCACACAGGGGCGGCACCGACGTTTGATGTGACAGCGGTGACCTGTCTACACACCGCCGACACATTGTTGATGCTGGTACACCGGGCAAAACATTCTATGTTGACAATGCTTCGACGGTTGCAGCGAACGTGTTAAATGACAAGTAGATTTTATACTATTTTTATCTTTTGAATACTATTGAAAATGTGAAAGGATGTTTAGTTTAACCAATTAAATATATTCGTATAATTAACCGTTCCAATTAAAGTGTATTCTTAATAAATTATTCTCTCGATTAATAACGACAAATGTCAAATGTTAGCAATTTTATTTCGTGACGTAGATAATTGAATTGATTTACAGAGTTACATGTACGTTTATTATATGTCCTCGGTTGATAATGAATTAAAAAATAAATCAATTTTAATGTCATCACAAGGATTTATTTTTTATCAAACATATTATCTTGGAACAGGTATGCATTAATATAAAATCACATTATCAGTTCATTGAAACTTCTTTTTACCAAATTATTCAAATTTCACCTTTCCATTCGATAATCATCTTCAAAATTTCAGAAGCGTCGACCTACATGTAAATGAGCATTCTTAACGAGGCCCTAATAAATGCAAATCGGGTGTTTAGGACCGCAACTATCTTGTCCGCATAATAGGGAAGAGGGTGTTGTGTAAAAATTTATCTCTAGACGATTCAACAATTACGTTTGGAACACGCTAAATACACGATGAACCGGTTTTAAACGTTTCTCACCTTGATACATTTCCTCTTATCTTTGACGAATAATAACGTCGGCTGGAACTTGAAATAGAATGATATTTAAATTTCCACCAAGAGGAAGAAGAAAAAGGTAAAAAAATAACAGAATTTCAACGCAAATGAAAAAAAACGAAACGATTTTACGAAATATTAATTATGTAACATGCATGAGAGAGGGTTAGGTTAGGTGGGATAAGATCGGCGAACGACCGTTTTGGAAGTAGACACACGCTCGATGGCACTTATGATTCATTGACATTCATTAACAGCTATTACGGAATTCGATGGAAAGCAGCGAATCCGACAGATATTATAAATGACCGTCGTTACGCTGGACACTGACTTCGACGTAAATTGCCCAATAAAATAAAAAGGTAACATAACCTATAACGTGTGGCGCATGGTATATTCGAAGGAAGACTTTATTACTGACCTTCGATGTTTTCATAGTCATTGCTGTGAACGAACCGGCAAGGTCCTCAGGAAATATTGAGTATCGTTGATAGGAGGGACAAATCTGTCCAGAGGGATTTGCATCTGAATAAAGTGCGAAGGAGGATGGTAATTTTGGGGCCGGTGTGAAAGACCGTTTAGAATGGCGTCTAAATAACACTTCGCTACTTCAAGTGACTTTTAATTCAGCCGCGAGACTTCTCTTCCGTGTCCGGAAATATCTCTGGTCCTTTATTCGAGGCGAAATTTGAATCGTATTATTCCCCGAATTCGAATCGATTTGTGGTGCGTACGATTTGTATTTGGACAGAAAAAAAAGGTGATCAAGGAGAGGAACGTTATTTCGTATTTTTATTTTACCTTTCCGATCGCGTATTACAAAATATGGAGGACAATTCTGAAGATAAACTTAACTGTTTTCTCTGTGGTGGTAATTTTTCGTTTGTCACAGGCAAATAGGAAAATTCTACACGATTTAACGCAACTTTCTTCTCCTTGAATTTAGCTTATTTGCAGGTGCATTGATACTGTTTTAAGTTTCATTTTTATTTTTTTACAATACTGCAGTTAAAAAGATAATTATTAATAAAACATCGTAAACTGAACATCGTCTATTAAACAGTTCCATTTACGTATCCAGTCCAGAATCTAGGGGACTCGTTCAAAAGAAGGAACACAGTTGTCAGTCATTTTTATTCTTCGCTCATACAATATTGTAATTAAAAAGATAATTACTAATAAAATATCTATTAAATAGTTCGATTTATGTATCAAACCTAGAATTTAGAGAATTCATTTAAAGGAAGAAATACAATTGCAAGTTGCAACCTAACCATAAGAATTCATTTAGAAGAAGAAACACAATTGTAAATTTCAGCCTAACGGTAATCCACAAATTCATGCACCATTAATACTGAACAAACGAAAATAAAAAGATTCACTTTCAATTGGTCACAATTCGTTGCAGTTTATCTTCACCTTCACTTCCATTCTGAACTCCAATCTCCCAAAGTTTTTACTTTTTACAATATAAAAATATTTCTTTTTACTAATTCTATAATGTGAGAATTCTTTACGTATTCTACATTGTAGTGTCTCAAAGAGCTGCTTCTCTCAAATCTCACGGGGACTCCCCCAGTGACTCCTCGATCTTCCCAAGTGATCAAATTAATTTTCATAATACCACCGTTTTACCAAGAACGCGTTCCTCACGAGCCGAGAAATATTATTTACCCGTCATATCTGCATATTATTCGTTCCATTCGCTAAACCACGCACCTTGCCCAAAGTGTCGTGGGAGCCTTCGAGGAATCGCGCTGGCAAATCTCGGCTTCCTGTCACCCAAAGTCCACGGTTATCACCAACCGTCCCCGATCGCTTCCGCATCGGGCGGAAACATCGGGCAGATCCGCGGGTGGGGTTTCTCAGGTGCGTATAAAGTCAGGAAGAACCGGCTGATTTTCGTCAGTGGAATCGTATCCAACAGCGAACATCTTCTCGACTCGTATTTTTCCCTCGAAGAAATTCACCATGAATCGTTGCTTCGTCCTTTCCTCTTTCGTATCGCTTCTGTTGATCTCGACGTCGGCTTGGCCGTTCAGACGCCGAGACGTTCTTGATAATTCGGTGGACAGTCCTGACGGTGTGATTGGTCATCTGCAGCATTTCGGCGCTATGCTGTATCGGTTTCCTGATAATGAAACTGGGGCGATCGTGGCGGGATGGCACGAGGGCTGGGACCGCAATCCGGAAGAGTTGGGCAACTACGCGGAGGGTGACATCTTGTTTCCGCCTCAACTCGCGAAGAACGGGCTGAAAGCGGAATCTGCACGATGGCCAGGCGGCGTGGTCCCGTATATGATTAGCCCTTATTTTAGTAAGTGACGTTGCACGTGTTCTTGCTTTCCTTTTTTCTTTTAGAGCAATTGTTAGGTTGTTGCATATGAAACGGTCGATTTCACAACTGCGCGATGGCTTTCAGAAGTACGTTCTTAAATTTCCTACCGGATAACATTTGTTGCATTTCGCTGCGACAGGTTTTAATACGTAACGCGCAAAATCTTTTGTTTCGACTGTATCGAAATTACAAATCTTATATTTCTTTCATTGAATTAAAATGGAATTGTGCAAAGGATAAAAGTACAGCCAAACAGCGGCTACAGTACAGTATGAGCAAATTTTGAGAGCGCCTTTATGCGCCAATAGCAATGAAAGGATTAACCGAAACCAAACCGGAGCGAAGTTTAAAGTTAACCAAAACCATCCGCCATTTAATAGTGAAACAATCGACGAACCACCACGATCGTGATTCTGTTTCACTACTAAATAGCAGATCGTGTACGACAGTGAATCACGAATCGAGACCAAACTTCACTGCCCATTTTTCATAGCCAAATTTTGTTCGGAGCCAAAAATGGTTTGTGCCAAATGTCATTCTGAAGAGAGAAGTTCAAGCTTGCATGCATTAAGTTCCATGGCTAATCGCGTTATCACACGGCAAACGAGAAAACCATGAAAATCAAATTAATTCGAATAAACAAGCGAAGCTCAGCAAATCACCTCTACTTATCCATTCTTAACCTAATAGAAACTTACCTGCTGCAACACTTCACGAATAATTGCTAATTTCACACCGAAGAAATAATTCGAACGTCATTCGAGCTTCATGGTTAATTGTGTTATCGCACGTCAAATAAGAAAATCGTAAAAATCAAATTAACTCGAATAAAGAAACGAAGCTCGGCAAATCACCTGTACATTCTTGAACCAATAGACTGAAACCTACCTGCTGTAATATTTCACGGACAAATTTCCTCGACAAACTGTTTCGAAATACAACGGACAGCAGAGATGATTTTCTGTGATCGAATTAAATTCTAGATACCGAGCAGAAGAATCTAATTTACGAAGCCATGAACGATTATCACAAATACACGTGCATTAAGTTTAAACCGTATACCGGCGAGGAGAGTGATTATATCAGAATCACGGCTGGCAATAGCGGTTGTTGGAGCAGCGTGGGAAGAATTGGTGGAAAACAGGACGTGAATCTTCAGGTTCCAGGGTGTTTGGTGAAAAAGGGCACAGTGATACACGAACTGATGCACGCCGTTGGTTTTCTGCACGAACAGAGCAGATTCGAGCGGGATGAGTACGTCACGATTCAGTGGAATAACATTTTGAACGGTAAGTGGGTTATTATTCGAGCATTAGATGCGACGGGTAGTTTGTAATTGTAGTAGTTTCTTTTCCACAATCGTTTCGTGCTAGCCTTTATTATACTTTTGTTTCAATTACTGGAGATGTTTGTTTTTTTTTTTTTTATCACTACTGACTAATTTTTGTTAACAATGTTCGTTTAGTAAGGGATCGGCATTAAAAAGGAAACCGTCCATCTGTATACACGCACATTGTGTGTAATTATGTTATACTTGAAATTTCGCAATTTTCTCGAAATTTTCTATTACTCTGTATATTTTTCATTTCGATAGAAATCATCTAGTGCATCTTAGATGTCTACGTATTAACGAATTAATTCGAGAACAAGAATGCAAGGGTAGATTAATAAATTAATACGTATAGGTAGAAAAAGTAGATTTCTACCGGAACAAGAACATTTACGAAGTAATAGAAAATTCTTAAAAAATTGTAAATATAAAATTCATGGGTATTAGAAGATTTCTATCGAAGTAAGAAAATTTATGAAATAACAGAAAATTTCTAAAAAATTGTAATTATAAAATTCATCATACTAGATTTCTATCGAAATAAGAAAATAGTGAAAATAAGAGAAAATTTCTAAAAAAAAATTGTAAACATTGTAAAATTCATTACATGACGTAATATAATTATACAGAATGGAAGTAGGTACACAGATGGACAATTTCCTTTTTAATTCCAATCATTGCTAAATGAACGTATATAACGAAAAATAATTGAATGCAAACTAATTAATTCGTCGATACGTATAAATATACATTTTGGTTTACATGCATGTATGACCATAATCGAATAACATTAAATTACCGTTTAAACGACAACACCTTGAGTATTGGTTACAAGTTCATCCTCTTGTACTCGTTTGAAAAATTAACGAAACGCGTATGTATATGTATAACGATCAATGTATCATTATCTATTTAGGCCATTCTGGAAATTTTGAGAAAGCCTCGAAACAGACCACGGACGCGTTTGGTGTCGGATACGATTATGGCAGCGTAATGCATTACTCCGCGAACGCGTTTTCCAAGAACGGACGGCCCACTATTGTGACAAAAGTGAGTAACACAATAAAGCCGAAATTATCAAGGTCTATAACTTTCTACGCTTCGATGATTCCATGGTTCATGGAGATCTCGTAAATTTGAAGGATTCGTTAATAACAACATGATTTATTCAGTTATCGTATTATGAGTCATAGCTGTTCCACGTTTCTAGCAAGGCAATACTTCTGTCGACAAAATCTCGTAAATCTTTTCTATATTCATCAATTCACCAGTTTTGACGAAACAGAGATACGGCGGCACACGGAGGTAACGATGTCCCGATTTCATCGAAATTATTATCAAGCCTCAATATCTCGAGAAAATTCGAGGATTTTAAAAATATGAAGAAAATTCAAAGTTCAGAAATAATTTTCTCCATAATATCGATCCCTTGACGCTCATGCTCGTGCCTTACATCCTCTAAATAGTGCAATTTCGTTTAATTATTTTCTATCATTTTTCATATTGCGCTGTCCTTTCTATCCAATTGCAAAAATTTAAGTCACAGCGTTGTAGATAAATGGGAAATTTATTTCTATACTAGGAAATATTTAACACTAGAATTACCAGCCGAGTCAAAATGACCCATTAGCGACTTTCCAAAAGTGAATTTTTCTGTAAGTAAACCGTGATTGGAAAATTCGATTCGTATCGACACACGCGGAAAATAAATTCGGAAAGTTGCGAACGATAATACATACCAGTGTATAACATTCACGTTTTTTCGAAAGATGCCAATGGGTAATTTCACTCAGTCGGTAATTCTAGTGTTAAAAAGAAATAAATAAAATTGGTCATTTTTGATACATCAAGTTGAGAAAAATGTGAGCATCGAGGGGTTGAAGTGAACATTTCCTTTCCTCCACGATGTCACCAAATCTTCCGCCATTATTCCTGACATTTCCAGATATCTACATCGCGCAATTTTCCTTTATTATTTATCGTATCCTACCGTTTCTTCCTTTTTTTCAACTAACAAACGTCTTTCAAAATAATTTTCCCTTTGCTCTAATGCCAAAGTGAACGTTTCATTTCCTTCACGATGGCCATTACTGCTGGAACCAATAATTTCCAGATATTCACGTCGACTTCGTGTAATTTCTTCCTCTTCGTCCAAGGAAGAAAACACAAAAAGAAAGAGGCGCGAATTGATCTTCGATGTTTCCGCAGCGATTAAACGAAAATGTCACAATGTCGCGAAATTCGTTCTCTGCCCACGTTTGCATGTCCTGTGGTTGTCCGCAGGAACCCGGTGGCCTTCTAAGTTTTATCGGCGAAATATTCCAGGGTGCGTCGGGTGTTCAACTGGGTCAGAGAGACGGATTCAGTAAGAGGGATATACAGAAAATCCGGAAGATGTACAAATGCACGAAGCGCCGACGAAGCAGCTATTGATCGGCGAAGAATGTGATCAACGAGACTCAAAGGTTCTTTGCGGACTTTTATTGGACCGAGGCGAAGGAAATCGAAAATCTAGTCCTTTACGATTAAGTATACATCGCGTTACTTTTAAACTGCACCCTATAGCTTCGGCTCTCGATCAAGACGAATGAAAACAAAACGGATTTAGCTTGGACAGTGGTGAATCAATATTGACGAAGAAGCGATACTTGCATTCGGAAAGAAAGTTCATTATTTTCTTTTTTTTGTTTTTTCTGTGTGTCTGTGTATGCATCGAGAGCAATAGCATTATTTGAATGCCATTTACATATGGTGATTCGAAGAATTGTAATCAGGTGTATGATGAATAAATGCATTTCTTAAAGCTCGATCGTGTTGTTTCTTTTGTTGATGTCTCATTGTTGCGACGAAGCTAAAGATCACCAAAATTTACTAAACAAGAGAACATACCAAAGTGATCGGTAGTATTGAAAAAAATCTTTGACGTGCATTTGTTTTATTGACAATAATCGTCCACGTTAAAGGGGTGAAAATCGCCCTCAAAGATGGCGGTAATGAACATACCTGTTTTAAACTTTTTTTGATTTTTCAAATTTCTTCTTGAAAAATACAAAATTCGCCAATTGACACTATTCTTCTATCTCCAATATTTTTCGAGATATCAGACTAAACTAACTTCTACCCCTCAACTTCGACGGCGATTTTCATCCCTTCAATGTGAACGACTGCTGAGAACGAAATGCGTAGAATTTTGATAAATAATTAACACCCAATTTTACTATCGCAATATAATTGACATATTCAATTCTGATACCTGTAACACTGTCCATCTTATTTTCACTTAAGGGGGTCTTCTAGTGTGACGGCCGCTTTTTAGGCCTTTGCTAATTTATTACAGAAGTACGGTAACAGTTATTAACATGAGCTTTATTCCTATGTATTTACTTGTCCTTGAAGAATCAGTATAAATTCTTTTTGTCGAAAAATAATTAACTATGGCTGCTGTGGAACATCGTGAAACAGGAGCATGAAAGAAAAAGTAGGTCCATGGTTGCCATAATTTGAGCTGTTCTGCTTATCAAAAATAAAAAAATTCAATTGATTCTTATTTAGTATGCATGTCGCTATGGTCGATAGTAGAATAAAAGAAAAATATTGAAAATTTAAAAAATGGCGGCACTTTGAATACGAAGTATC